TTTGGTTATTAAACAATTTGGAACAACAATTCGTTCAAAACCACTGAAAATACAAACACTGTAATTTACAATGTTTTCACTTTAGCATATTTTGAAGAATAATTTCCTTAAAACACCCCACAGTAATATTTAAAGTCATTTGCAGAAAGTATCGGCGCAGGACCCCAAATATCTGAATATATTAATTCTAAAGGATGCGAACTAGTACATTCAACACGCGATAAAGGAAAATGAGATGAATTGCCTAATTGACAAGAGGAACAAATATTTGGCAGATCACTGGGATTAAACGAACTAAGACTACAAGAGGCTAAAACTTGACGCAGGACCCGAGAGTGTGGATGCCCAAGCCGCATATGCCAGACGAAAGAAGACCATGCAGCAATGAAAGCAGCGGGAGCCGGACACGAGCCAGGCCAGGCATATAAACCCCCGGACGCATGCCCCTTAAAAAGGGTGTTCCTAGTTTGAATGTCCTTCACAAAGAAACACGAAGGGTGAAACTAAAAAAAGACATTATTCTCTTTAGCAAAACGCTGAATAGATAATAACGAAGAGGATAGACCAGGAACATGCAAAACATTAGACATACGAAACGACCTAGAATTAGTGGCTTACGAAGTAGAACCAACAGTAACAATAGGCAAACCTGTACCATTGCCGACCCGAAGTGTCTCTGGACCATCATATGCAGTAGAGGACGTCAATAATGTGGGATCAGGGGTAGCATGATTTGTGGCACCAGTGTCCGGGAACCACTGATGAGAGTCATCCATAGAACCATCAATACCAGAAACGATAACATTCGCCTGAGGGTCCGGATCGGGAATGAAACGACGCCAACACGCCGTAGCTATATGCCCTTGCTTGTTGCAAATATGACACCGAGGGCCCGAGTTGGACCGCTCCCGGCCACGACCGCCGAGCCCCCTGCCGCGGCCGCCACCGCCTCGGTTTTGCAGACTGCCACCGCGACCGCCGTGACCACCACGGCTTACGGCCAAGGCCGCCGGTGCGCCGAGAGCCGCACCATCGTCCGAACAGATCCACTCCAGCGAAACAAGAAAATCCGCAACTTCCGGGAGGGGAACAGGCGCACCACGGGCTAGAGTTGCCACCAACGGTCGGAACTCCGAGCGTAAACCGCGAAACACATATAAATTATGATCATCCAACTCAACATGATGACCGGCGAGGGCCAATTCATCAATCAACATCTGGGCACGACCAAGGTAATCAGATATCGAGGAATCACCTTAACGGAGCCCCTGAAGTTCACCGAGTAGTCGGAGTGCACGAGAGCGGGTAGACGAACCTAGGGTTTGTTCGATTACCTGCCAAAGCTGCCGAGAGGTGCCCTTGCCGACGGCGAAACGAAGAGTCTCCTCGGACAAAGAGGAGATGAGCATGGAGAGGATTGCCTTGTCTTGCCGACGCCAAGCGAGCTGCCGGGTGGGAGATCGGAAACTGCCGCCGGGGCGCTGTCCGCGGTCGACGTTAGGGCCGGCGATGCCGTTGGAAAGGGTGTTGTACCATCAACAAACCCCAGAAGCCCTTGGCCTTCAAGAAACGGAAGCATCTGAGTTCGCCAGAATAGATAATTTCGGGAGGTCAACTTTAAATAAACGAAGTGATGAGCCGATGACTGGCTACCACTCGCAGGCATCGTAGAAACCTCGGTAACGGTCCGTTCCGAAGAACCAAGAACAGACCCGTCATCAACACCGACGTTTTCCATGAGAAAAAAAACATAGATGATACCAGATGAGAATATATTTTCTGTATTCAATGAATAATGTCTGAGAGTACAGGGAGCGAATATATAGAGATGCTAGATATAATCCTAGTCTAACACGAATAATGTAGTCCTAGTCTAATATGGATAATAGAGTCCTAATAAAACTAATACCGGTAAACAATTCCTTTACCAAAAAAAAAAAAATACCGATAAACAATTCCAAACATGTCCACAATATGGAACAAGGATCTGTTTGGGAGAGCTTATTTATGAGCTTATAGCTTATTTTGGAACGCTACCTTAGGTAGCGTTTCAAAATAAGCTCATAGCTTCCTAACTTTTTTTCCATCTTTATCCTTATTATTTTAAAGAAATGACATAATTTACCCTTCCCAATTAAAACCCTTTTCCCTTCTCCTTTATCCGCAACTTTCACATTTCACCGCAAATATTATTATTATTATTATTATTATTATTATTATTATTATTATTATTATTATTATTATTATTATTATTATTATTATTATTATTATTATCATTATTAGATTTGCAACATTATTGCTACTTCATTATGAGATGCAAGGTCATGATTAGGGATGACAATTTCAATCCGCCCCGTGGATATCCACCCGAATCCACCCCACGTGGATCGGATTTTTTTGGGTGATAGTGGGTGATGGGTCGGGGGTCGGTCTTAAAAAAGTAAACCCGCGGTGGGTCGGATTGGATTCGGGTTCTATGTACAAAACCCGCCTAAAACCCCACCCGACCCACCATGTAGTTATTTATAAAAGTTTTTATAACTTCATGTAAATTTTTACTGTTTTTATATCTAAACTACTAAGTTTATTTTTAAAAATTAACAATTTAGTTATTATATTTAAATATTTACATTATTTTATGTTTTATATAACTAATTAATGAATTTTATTATTTTATTATGTGTAGGTAATTTAAATATTATTTTTTGAAAAAATAATAATAAGGTTATAAGTGGTGGGTACCCATAGTAGGCACCCGCACCCAATGGGGGTGGGAGTGGATTTTGAAAAAGTCCACCCGATGCGGGTTGGGGGTAGGGGTGGGTGAAGAAAATATAAGGTGGGTCGAGTGATGGATGTAGCCCTCCCCGACCCACCCATTGCCATCCCTAAATTCATGATTATGCTAATAGTACCCGCATGGGCAGCTCAACTGGTCACAGAGGTGAAACTTTGGAAGAATGACCAGGGATCGAGTCTCACCAGCGGCAGTGTGGGAGCAACCTCTCGAAGTGAGGGGGGTTTCTTGTGCGTAGTGAGCACGGTCTAGCCTCTATGGTTCATGTTCAGTTGAGTTACCATCGGAGTGTGGGGGGCCCTTAGGGTTGGGGTTCTTCCGAGATTATGCTAATAGTTTTATTTCTAAATTTTTTTTAAAGACAAAATGTTAAATTTTAATATGTAAACAAACTAATTTAAATTTTATGAAGATATTCTTTTTAGTCTTTTTACATTTATCATCTTATCAAAAAGCTAATTTTACCAAATACTTTCAATCATAACAGCTAGCTTAACAGCTCTTCAGTTTTCAGCTCCGAGCTTATAGTTTTTCAGCTTTCAGCTCCGACTTTATAGCTTTTCAACTAGGTTTGCCAAACAGAGCCTAAGTGTTTATTTTCCATAATATGAATTCTTTAGTTACTATTTGAATTATTCAAAATTGGCAAAAATTTGTGGGAGACAGTCTCACAGATCTTTGTTTGTGAAACAAATTAGGTCGTATACAATTGGGTGTGTAAGTATTGCAATTTCAATTATAAGTAATTTAAGTATTACAATATTTATTATTAGAAATAATCAATTTTAACCTAAATAGTATCACAATTTCACATATATGTATTACAATATTGATCATAAGTAACGATTTATTTTTAATTTAAATTGATATTAAATTTTCTAGAATAAATATTACAATTTCATTCATTAAGTAACATTTTACATATATGTATGTATTACAATATTTATATTAAAATTACATTTTGTAAGTATTACAATTTCAATAATAAATATTATAATATTTATTATTTGTAACAAGCATTTTACTCTAAATAGTATCATAATTTCACAAATAAACATTCAATATCTATTATAAGTAACAATTTATTTATTTCAATTTGATATTAAATTTTTTGTAATATGTATTATGATTTCTATCCTAAGTAACAAATAACTATTCTAGATTTAACTCATTTCACAGATTAAAATATGTGAGATGGTCTAACACAAGTGTGACTCTTAAAATATTTGAGAAGGGATTAATACAAATTTTCTCAAACTTTATATTTGTTAAATGAAAGATCAGATCAGAGTACTCTGGAGTTTTTACGTGGATTGATACATAACATATGGCCGGCCTTTGCTAAAACGACTCTCCAACAACTACAATATTTATTTATTTTTCAACCAGAAGCATTTTGTGATTATATATGGAATCATTAACTTGTACTACAAGTTTTAATCATTGACTTAAAATATTTTATACTAGTACTAGTATTAAATATTGCAACAAGTTGGAGAGAGTCATATATGGAATCTTTAATTTTGACAATGTAAAAGTAGTTGTCGGCTTGGAATTCATCAAATTAGTTGCATTATTGCCCAATTCATCTTCATCTTCCTTCTGCTAACCTCCATTCAAACAAACTCAGGAAAAAAAAAACTCTCATTTACAGAGAGAAGAATGGCTTGTGTGGTTATACTTTCTCTTATGAGGACACTAGAGCTTGAGTTCTTGCAACTTCTCCCTCGTCCAATTCTACAACAAAAGGAACTCATCCCTTGCAACAAAGAGCTAGCCCAATCTCTCCACAAAAAGCTTGGATTTCTTATGGAACTATTCGATGAGAATAGAATGGACGGTGTTGAAGCAATTAAGGACTTGGAAACAAAGCTCAGAAATGTAGCTTTCAGAATTGAGGATGAAATTGAACTCCAAGTAGTACATCTTTATGAGGAAGAAGAAGAAGAAGGGGAAGAAGATGATGCCTTTAATGTGGAAATGCCAGTGGGGAATACTAGTCATTGCCAAAGGCTTCATCAAATTTTGCATCCACTAACCGGAAACTCACATCCTTGTCTCAAATTTCGTTTTATTTTGCACCGGGCAATACAAGACATTGATGCCATCGAAGAAGAGCTAGTGAAGGTGAAGATGGAGTATAACCATTTTATAGCCTTGCAAGGAAGGAAGACTACACTTGATGCGGTCACTCCAAAATATGGTTCCTCCAAGCATGTTTCACACTCCGAGGATGTAATTATGGTCGGGAAAACCAATGAGTTCAAGACTATAAGGGAGATGCTAATACAACATCCATCTAAACAGCGAGAAGTTGTTTCAATTATAGGAATGGGAGGTATTGGTAAGACGACGCTAGCTAGACGAATTTATGAAGACCCATCAATTACTTCCCACTTTGATGAGAGAGCATGGGTTGTCGTATCACAACATCACAATAAGCGACAAATGCTCGAAGGTATTCTGAATTCAATAGGCAATTCAAGAAGTGGCAGTGATGAGGACCTAGCACTACGACTCTACCAATGTTTAAAGGGTTTGAGGTATCTGGTTGTGATGGATGACGTATGGAGTGGAGAGGCATGGGATGCTATCAAAGCTTGCTTTCCTGATGACATAAATGGTAGTCGAGTATTGTTGACTACTCGCCTTAAGGAGGTGGCTAATAATACGTGCACCAAAGATGACTTTTCTCATCAAATGCAATTGTTAGAACAAAGTGAGAGTTGGAAACTATTTTCTGAAAATGCATGTAAATCTCATGGTGCTGAATTTGAGACGATTGGGAGACCGATCGTTGAAAAATGCAGAGGTCTGCCTTTAGCAATTAAAGTGGTTGCAGGCCTATTTTCGAAACTCAACACACTAGATGAGTGGAAGAATACGGCTAATGCTCTATGTTCTTCAGCAACTACTCTAGATGATGAAGAATGTTCGAGAATACTCTCACTGAGTTACAATCACTTGCCCTACAACTTGAAAGCTTGTTTTTTATATTTAGGAGTTTTTTCCGAAGATTATGAGATCAATGCTAATCATCTTGCAAGGTTATGGTTTGCCGAAGGACTCGTAAAGCCATTTGAGAATGAAAGCTTTGATGCAGTGGCTAACAGGTACTTACAAGAACTTATGGATAGAAACCTAATAATGTTAAGCACGCTAAACTCTTGTAGAAGAAAAATTAAGAGATTTAGGATGCATGATTTATTGCATGCCTTTTGTGTAAGAGCAGCTCAAAGTGAAGACCTTTTACATGTTATCATGAGCCAAAATAGTTTTGATTTTGATAAGAAAGGCTTTCGTTGGGTAAGCATCCAATCAGTAAACTCTAACATGTCTACAATACTTTCTCGTTCGAAAAGCTGCAGGTCCTTCTTCTGCTTTCTAAGGATGGATTCCTCTTTTGATTTTAAAAATTTCAATCTACTAAGAGTACTCTACTCTAGCACTGAAGTTGCCAGGCTCAAGAAGATTGAGGATATTGTCCATTTGAGAGTGCTAATTTGTAGATATAATAATATAGAACTGTTCAGGGTTCGGGAATTCTTAAAGTCAAAGTGCAGTAAGAATATAGAAGTGTTCAGGGCTTGGAATCTTCAAACACTTCATTGTTACAGAGTATCATATAGATCATATGATGGAGGGAACTATTCGGAGTTTCCACAACTACACTATATTCATTGTGGCGACTATTTTCATGGAAATCCTCCCAATTTTGCTCGAAAACTTTCTTGGATAAGAGCTGATGATTGCTCAAAAGAATACATTATGAATATCCCATACTTAAAGAAGGTACGTATTGGAGGTAAAGGCAGAGACAGTAATGCTTGCATTACAAACCTAGCCTATTTAGAGCAGCTTGAGGGATTGCATATTTCATTTAGTGATGAAACACAGATGCCAATTAATCATCATATTGTTTTATTGAAAAATCTTAGAAAGTTGTCATTATATGATATGAGATTTGAGTGGGAGGAAATTAATATTCTTAGCAAGTTACCTAGGCTTGAAGTGCTCAAGTTAACACCGATGTTCTGCTCATGTAAAAAGTGGGAAATACAAGAGGAAGTGATATTTCGCCAATTGATTATTTTATATATTTTTTCTTCTGACTTCAAGCATTGGAAAGCTAGTAGTCATAATTTCCCAAAACTTGAGCACATATTTCTTTGGAATTGTGGTCAATTGAGAGAGATCCCAATCGCCTTTGCCGAAATTTCAACATTGAGTTCAATCAAATTAGCGGGTTGTCTTCCTTCTGCTGTGAATTCAGCTAAGAAAATTCAAGACGAGCAACGTGACTACGGAAACTATGATATGGTTGTTAGTGAGAAACATACAAGGTACGTCTCCTTTTCTCTTAATTGCATTTTTTTCAACTTGTGCCTGGCAAATTTAAATGTAATGACTCATGACAGGGTTTGGGAGGAAAACTTGAGTGAAGAAGATCCAGAAGTGGATAAGTGATAACAATTGAAGCATGTGCTCCATCTCAACTAAAAGCCTAAGCTGATAGTTAGATTGCACATTAATGGCTATATGCTCAACACGTCCCCTCACGTGTGTAGTGGATTCCAAGCAACACGTGGACCGTAGTCGCTTATCGGGTAAATAATCTAACAAATGAGTACGTTTCAAGTTAACATATATAAACCTATTTTTTTTTTTTTTTTCTAATTCTAATTAGTTTGAAGTCAGTGAATTTGGTTTAAATTAATAATAATTTAAGATTCCATTAAATAAAAGAAGTCAATCCTTAAGGAATTAAATCCCCGGCGGATTGTTTGATGAACTCCTCAAATTTTGATAATCATTGAAATAAATTTATGATATTACTTTTTGTTTTAGTAATTGGAAACAAAATCTCCATGGAGTGTTCAAATTTCAAATATTGTATCCTAGTATATGTTCTTGGAACCTTGAAACAACTTACTCTTCAATTCTTATACAATAATATTTCTTCCCTTGAAACAAAATTACATCAAATTTCACTTTCTTTCTTATGTTCGATATGATAATATATACATGATAGGTGATCTTTGAAACTTGACCCTGATGAATATAAAATGAGTCTGATGAACTTGAGGAGAAGATCAGAGTATGCAAAGCTTGAGCATACAAGACTGTAAAGTTTCTACTCACTAGAGCCAAAAAGGTATGTTTACATTTTACTTGCAGATTTATGATTGCAGCATTCTAAGCTACTTGCAATTAGTCTCAGCTAGTTGCTGGGAATCACAACAAATTTACATTCTCTAAGTGCTCTTAAAAATCTTGAAACTTCACTTCTTTCTAACTTTTGCTTTCAATCTTTGATGCATATGCAGATACATATATTGTGGGAGTTGATGATGAGTGTTAACAAGAAGACTGATTGCAGTTAAGCATCTCAGTGGTTGGTTTTGGCATTTCAGCTTTTTCCATATCCTCAGTTTTTGAATTATGATGTGCAATGCAATACTTGAATTACTATCTATATATATCCGCAAGGGCTGCTCAATCAGTACAGTTGATTTTTAGGTGGTAGATTGTGGGCAAGAAAACAAGATCGAGTCGCAGTGTGGGAGTTGCGGGCATCTAAATGTGGTGGGCTCCTTGTGGCACTTGGCACTTGGTTTCTGAGCCACCGTGATTTATCCTTCCACTATCTTATCAGGTTAGAGTGTGGGGTAGGAGTGAGGAAATTTTGCCTTTTGTATGCAAGTTTAGTATGTGTTCAATCTTGTAATATTTTGTTTTAGTACTCCAAACTTTCAAAGACTTCTTGGACAATATCTCTGTGAACTCTTCTTGAATTCCCTTCCCTGTTGGATATTGTTGGCTTTTAGCTCATTTTATTTGCAGTGATAATTGTTTCAGAGTATGAGTTTTAACTTGTTTGGAAACAGAGATGACCAGCTAGTGAAGGAGGATGGGCTAAAGTTAAAAGAGTCATATTCATTTTTTTCACTATTACTAGCAGGACGGATCGAATCAGAGAACTTATATATTGCTTCAGCCAATTTGCAACCTCCTCCTCGTTGCTTTCATGTACATATATTGCTGCATGCTTCAATTCATCTCCATGTTTCATTGAAAACACTTTAGTGGCCTGATTAAACCAGAAAATTTGTCATCGTGACTATCACTTGCTTCTATCTATCTTGCTAACTTTTTTTTTTTATAATAAAATAATATCAAAATACTATAACGTTTTGCATGGTCGCACACAGCACACTCGCACCTACAAAGTCATCGAGCAAAATTCGATGAAGAGAAACAAGTGGGTGAGTAAGTATAAAGGAATAGTGTATATTAGTTCAGTTTGTTTAGTTTAATTTATGTGGTTATCATGGTTGAAAAAATAGTCAAGTGTTCGTATATTTTTATTTTATTGTTTATTTTTAAAATTTTTTTTATTTTATGATGATGTTTTGAGGGATGATTATGAAATGATTTTGTGTATGCTAGTGGTGATACTAGATACTAAATGATCTGATTCGGCAATGAATAATAATAATAATAATAATAATAATAATAATATATTTTGTACAAGGGCATTTATATCTTTTAAACATATATTCCATATTTATTCCTTAACCAACAGAATACAATTTCTATTATATTCCTTACATATTCCATTCCCTATACAATAATAATAAGATTTCGTTCGGTGCTGTGCTGCTCTGTCCAGATGGCATTTTCGTGGCGGTGGTCACTGGCAGTGGCAGTCTTCTTCCTTGCTTCTCGCCATTAATGGCTTGCAGGGAGGTTCTATCTTGGCTCATGAATCGCGAGGTGTTGTCCGTTATCTCTAAACCGATTGCTCGGAGCTTCGGAGTTCGTTATTGACCACTTGTATTGCTATTCGGTCATACGTTGGCATCGTTGTTAATGACTGTCGAGAGGCTTTATTTTTGTTTTCTCATTTTTACATTAGTTTAGTGCCGAGATCGGCTACTTTACTTGCTCATACACTCGCTATAGCAACACGCCTTCTCTCAGGCTAACATTTTGTATTGGGACATGGTCCCTCCTGATTCTATTTCCACTTTGCTTTAATATATATGCAACTTTGCTTTCAAAAAAAAAAAACAAGATAATTGGATAAGACACTAGACAACACCGACTCGATGCTCTGGGTCTAAAAATGATCGTGGATCTTGAATGCAAGTGACTTCCTAAAGGTTCCTACTTAATTTTAATCAAATTATTTATCTGGATTAGGAAATCTGATACAAAAAGATAAATAAATAAATAAATAACAAGGTAAAGAAAAAGAACCAGACACGCAGAATTGTTTACGCAGTTCGGAGCTAGAACTCCTACGTCTGCGGAGCAACTCACGTCAGCTCAATCCACTAGATGATTACCAAAGAATTACAAGGAGTAATTCACTACCATACAAGCTACAGTGTCAACCAACTACTCCAACACAACCTTCATCATCTATGTAGTTGAGTACATGCATGCCGAAATCAACAAACAATCAATCACCAGAAATACATTCAACACAAGAGAATGCTACTGTTTAAACCGCTCTGTAATTTAGAGAATAACCGGGTAGAGGACTTGAAGAATTAATTATTAAGTTTAATCATCTTCTTCATCAAATAGAGAAATCCATACGCCCTTTATATAGATAAAATTAATAACCACCATGCCTGAAATAATGGAGCTTAATAGCCCTCAAATTAAGCTGCTCCATATGATTCAAATAAGCCTGAAAAGTGCGTCTGAAAAACCAGGATACCGTTAGAGGAAATTCTCCCACACAGGATTACGCCCTGACTAAGATCCAGACTGCTTCTGAAGTAGATTCTGAGATGCATCCAGAACCTAATACATTCTAATAAAATTAACCTATGTTTTGACAAATAATTAAGCCAATATAAATGGGTTGAATGTGTATCATTTGTACACTTAGAAGGTCTAATATGAAGGAGTCAAAATAAATAATGCAGTAACGGTCAGAGTCAAGCAGAGATGTGGTGAAACGGTGCACTTAAGTCCGAATTCAATGCACTTATTATAGTCATCAAAGAGCATGAGTTATGGAGGAAAGTACACATCAATTACTAAAGAGTTACGACACTTATTGAGGTGATTCGTTGCACTTATTAGAAGGCATTGTACTCATTATTATATTGTAACTGTTATCATTGTATAGAATAAAAGTTGAGACCATGTAACAACAGAGGAGACACACTCTAAATCTTGTACTCAGAGACTGTATGTTAGCAATACTACATTACTTCTTTCTATAGTCATTCTGGTCGCTAGCTTTTATATCGTCACAAATAGTTGAGAGACAAAAAGAGACGTTGGTATAATTGAAAAATAAAAAATATTATTTTTCTCCCATTACTGGAAATTCTGAAATTTCCGACCACCTGAAAGTTATTTTAAATCTTGTCGAAAGTCTTGTTCCGACCACTTTTGGTATCCGGAAAAACTCTTGTTGCTATTTCCGGCCACTTTTTGCTTTCAACTTGATTTATGATCACTTTCAGGTGGTCGGAAATTCAATAATTTCCAATAGTATCGAGTATTGATTTAGTGAATGAGAAATCTTATTTAAAACTTGGCCCCAACAGTATGGTGAATTTGCAATGGGCGAGATTTAAGATATAATTTTGCCCTACTAGAAAACCTGGGTTATTAAATAAAATAACAATTACTCCATATCTTTTCTATAATTTAAAGAAAAAAATTATCATTTTCCCATTATTATTTTATTATTCATTTATTCCCTGCACCTTATCCGATGAGACCATTGATCGTTACATACAATTATGTTTAACACGCTTTCGTTACATACAATTATGTTCAACACGTACGCTTTAAAAAAACGCGTAATTTGTTTGTCTTCTTCCCTGTTTGAACATTCTATCAAATTCTTCATTTCTTTGTCATGGAAACTACAGGTGAGCTTGATTCATTTCGGCAGCAACCAATTATTATATATTGATAGAGAAATGTTGAAAATGCCTTTTTTTTTTTTCCCATGACATTAACTTACATGGTATATCCAATATCCATTTGGCAGATCTTAAGTTGTTAAGAATCTAGTATGTCTTGAGATCGATATCAATGCAACATTTTTTTTTCTATTCCTTTTTATGGGTTTGGGTGGAATATATTATTAAAAGTCGCAATGAATCCTTAATTACTTGCAAGGGTGGCAATAAATTTGTTCGATCATTTCTTTGTCATGGAAGTTTCAGGGGAACTTCGTTTAGCAAACTACCAACCGTTTAGCATTGTTATATATTGATAGAGAAACGTGGCAAATTTTTTTGTGAACTATGAATACAAAGGTACATTTTTAATATATTGAAATTGTATTATTTGTGTAATGAGTATACATGATTTGATAGTATACAAATTATGTATTTTCAATACTCAAATAATGTATTTTTTATTAATACAATGTACATTTTTAATATATTAAAATCAGGAAAAAAAGTTAAATAAGCTCTCGAACTTTATCTAAGGAGTCAATTAGGCCCATAAACTTTTTAAAGTAGCAATTAAACTCATCAACATTGTATTTTGGTGCAATGAAATCCAAAAAATCGGTTAGTGACCTGCTATCACAGGTTACTAGAGTTCCGATCAACATTCTGACTAACTCTGGCGATATTTTCGACTATAAAGTGACAACGATCGCCGGTGAATCAATGGAGGATGGAGAAGGCAACCTCACGGGTTGCTTTCTTCTCTGTTGATTCATCGGCGATCGTTCGGTCACTTTATTGTCAGAAATATCGTCGAAGGTGGCCAGAATATTGACCGGAACTCTAATGACATGTGATAATAGGTCACTAACTGGTTTTTGGACTTCATTGCACCAAAATATAATGTTGATGGGTACTTTAAAAATTTTAAAAGCTTCATTGACTTTTTAGATAAAGTGCGATGGCTTAATTATTTGACCCTTTCTCTTAAAAATACTTTATTTATGTATTGAATGTAAATTATTTGATAGTATACAAAATATTGTATAATACAATATTTAAAAAATATATTTTTAAATAATATACTTTATGTACATAAATAATGTACTTTTTTATTTGTTGTGTGGACCATGGTTCATAAAGTAATGATCCAAGACTAGTTGAAAATGTCTATTTTTATATCATTGAAATGGACGTACGTAATTACAGACTCAATTCCCTTTGGCAACTCTTACGTCAGCTCAGATGGATGTGTTGATGTATCAATATATATTCCAGAGATCAAAACTTCTAACCAAGAAAGGTTACGGTATGTTTAGTTATATTTTCTAATAAAGAATTTATTGCAGACCCAATGAAAGAAACAAAATTTGAGGAGGTCATAATCTTGTCCTAAAAAAAAAAAAAAACCGAGAATAACAAAATCAACTAACATTAATACTTCCCTTTGCCATACTTCTTTTCTATAACTAAATGGAAAAGAAGGCGGAAAACAATCTCATCCTCCATAAGTACTACTATATATAGATTATAACAAGCCTGCGCGGACTTAATTAACTTATTGATTCAGTAAACAGTTGGTAGAAGAGATTGAAGTTTGGACCTCGACAGCGACAATGTGAAGATTATGTCTAAAGTAGACAAATCTATCCTTTGTGGGCACCAACATTTGACCATGTCCGCTGAGTTATTGAGTTACTGTGATTTACGTCTTCTCAAATGCTCTGTCGGGCTGGAATTGGACATTCAATCTTTTGGGAGAAAAATAGATTATAACAAAATCACATCTTAGGAAAAGATTGTCTTGTTATTTTATGTCTGTATGCTAGCTAGTTTACTTGAATATCCTAACATCTTTTGTTTTTTCTTTAAATTTCGTGACTATACGTACTAAT